CACGTGTTCCTATGTCAGCAGCTTTGTGATATATATATATATATGTGTTTTTTCCGAAAACTGCTGGCTGTACTGTATATATACGAGTGATTGAGAGCTTCTCCATTGCAGGTGAAGGAACAATTTCCAATGTTGACTATCAATGAAGCTGGCGCGGTATTTTCCAAGCACGGTTTCTCGATTGATTTCCCTGTTCCGGCCAATACAGACACACTTCAGTTGAGTGCTATGATGGCTGATCTTTTTGAAGCATATGCGCAGCGTGAGCAATCCAACTTGCAATTACTCTCTCAGATTCTTGGTGTGCACACATGGCCTAGGTCATGGCCTTACGGGGCATAGCAGTGCTTATAGCAAAGATATGTCCGTATATATGCATAATATATATGTATATCAAAATATGCATAATATATATATATATATGTATGTACGCACTTTGTACAATATGTTCATATGTACACACACCGCTAAGGACGGAGCTGAAAGCAAAATGCAAGCAGCGGGGTCTATCTGGGCAGTCGGAAGGCATGATGGATCGCTTGCTGAAAGACTCGCTGACACATGCTACTCTGGAGCAGCTCGTGGAAAAGAAGGCTGGCAAGCATGCGCAAGACAAAGTCGAGGATGAACCAAAACAAGAATTGTCTGCTGAGAAGGGCAAGGAGAGGGCGCTCAAGTTCAAAGACGGTTCAGTAATCATGTAGGATGACATAGGCGGTAGTGTGACAAACAGTGTTTCACTTTGGAGAGCTAGGAGCTGTCCCCTTTGGAGCAGATTGCGAAAGACTATGCCAACATCAGAGTGAACAAGAAGAGTTGCAGCGTGAAGGTCCATGGGTTTCAGAGAAAGTTTTTTGGTTGAGGGCGACTCTTTGCTGAAAGCTGCAAAGCTGGCAAATGCATACTACGAAGCCGGTCAGCTTTACTATGGAGCTCTTTCAACTCTCACGAAGAACCTTTGCCAAAATTGGTTGGCATACGCTTTTCTCTGTATATATATATATATGCTTATATATATACACACTCTATAGTGCAAGAATGAACTCATACCCCCACTGTTCCTATGTCATCAGTTGCAGAGTGAGGACAGACTTGAAAAAGAAGGCGTCAGACATGAAAGTTTCCAAGAACGGCACTACCGACCAAATCAAAGAGCGGGTGTTGCAGCAGTGGCTAGAATGCAGTCCTCGGGCAGAAGTGTTGGCGTACTCTGGAGTGTGGGACGCAGACACGAGTGGAAGTGCTTCCACAATGCATCATACCGATGCTGGTTCCAGCCAAAAGGTTGAAGACAATGCTGCTGCCAGTGCAGCTGCTGATGCTCATGGAGAATCTGGCAATGGTGCTTCAGGGAGCTCTGATCTCACACTTTTTTGGACGTCAAACCTTCTCGATGGTTCTTGCAGATGTTGAGGACAAGACCAACTTCTACACGGGGATCAATGAAGGTCCGGCGTTGCAATCCTTGCCTGAACCAACAACTGCGGAGACAGTTGCTGCAGCAACTGACGGTGTCCTACCTCTTGCAGCTTTAGTGAAGATATCTCAGGGCTTCCAAGAGACTGTTGATGATCCGGTAGCAGTTTTGCTGGCAGGCTGGGTTCATCGTCAAAATGTGCCACACAGGCCTATCTCATGAACACATTATTGTTTTTTTT